GTGGAGCTCTGGTTGGCCTCAAACATATATATTTCTTACCAATATCATCATCCGTTTTGTCTGCGGGTTCCTTTTCAAGACATTCCCGAACAAGATCTCGACCCTGCAGTGGATCTGTTCGATCAATCTCTTCTTCCTCCTCCTCTTCATCCTCAGAATCAACAGGTCCTTCTGGAAGACGTGTTAAATCTACATCTCCTACTTCACTCTCTGTAGCCTACAGAAAGAAATTTCAACCACAACTTTGGAAACTTACCAATGCTAGATATCTTAGGAACTAGGAAGTTTCAAAAACTACCATTCACAGAAGATGAAGATGTTTTTTCCAAAGTAAAAACTGATTAGAATATTTTTTATTTACTATTATGCTCCTGATCCATACCATAAATTAAGAACCATGAATATTAAGTTATAGAAAACAGCGAGTTGAGCACAGGAATTCCATAATAATAAATATAAACAATCAAAAAGGAGGAGTAGTGGAGATTCTGACATCTTCATCTAAGACCTTAAATGCTTTTTGCCCTCTTTCAGAGTCATTTATTCTTTTATTAACCCCCTTTCCTGAGTCCAAAGATCCAGGGAGTATCACAGAAGAGAAGGCGGAAGGAATGTAAGAGCCTGAGGATGCAGAAAAGTGCTCTGAAATACTTCCTTTGTATATAATATGTTCCTCTCACGAACTCATAGCAACTGTGGTTACCCACATAAGACCTATGTAAGATCAAGGAAGTTACAACATCCACCGTAATATGGCATAGTTATTTAGAAAGTACTTTGGAATGAAATTAAGTCAGTATAAAAAAACAAAACTCCAGTATAGAGCTGCTCCTGAGGCCCCAGTCGTAGCTGAGGAGCTATAAGAAGGGGTGGAAAAGTCTCTTTTCAATGATGGGTAGACGGTGGCAGGTTCCTTGTGCTACAGTAGATAATCGCACAACCTTGTACACATGGGCAGTACTAACTATGCTCAGTGGGACCATCAATAAAAGTTTCAAAGAGTTAAAAAAATAGGAACAAAGCTAAAAATGAACAGGAAGAGCAGAGACAGGGAAATGGGAAGGAAAACTCTTGAGTAAGAGAAGCAGAACCAAAAAGAGCAATAAAGCAACAGAAATATAGCATACTGGACAGAGAAAGAAAGAGTGCCAGCAACAGGATCATAGAGAAGAATGGAGGAAAAACAAGCAAGCCACAGGACACAAAATGACCTTAGAGAGACAGGCAGGAAAAAGAGCCCTATCTGCAAGTATAGCCTCCCTGCTGTCAGAACTGCTTCTACCTTCTCTCTGGGCCAGCATATTAATCTTCTGGCCTTTGTTAATTCACATTAGGGCTCAGATAACAACTCAGTCTTGCTTTTATGCACAATTTATAGTGCCTTTGGATTCCTATTTATTTTTAAGTAGTTAATAATCCAAATCAGATGTACAACTTGAGCTCCTTTAAGACTAGAAAAGGTGGCTTGTAACAGTTGGCTGCTGTGGCCTGGACCATTATCCTCTCTTTTCCTTTCTGAGACAGGGTTTCATGTGGCCCAGATGGACCTTGACCTCAGACCTGTAGCCAAGAATGCCCTTAAAACGTCTGATCTTCTTGCTGCCATTTAGGATTATAGGTATATGCTCCTATGCTCAGTTTATGAAGTACTAAGATTGAACCCAATGGTAAGCACTCTATTAACTGGGCTACATATATTTCCCCTCCCTTTTCAACAGTGCTAGGCATCAAATATAGGGCTACAAAAGATCCCTTGAGCCAAGGCATACCCACAGATCCTAAAACTTTTTAAAAAAGATTTATTTATTTATGAATATGAGTGTTCTGTCTTCATGCACATCAGAAGAGGGAATCATATACCATTACAAATGGCTGTGAGCTTCCATGTGGTTGCTGGAAACTGAACTCAAAATTTCTGGAAGAGCAGCCAGTGCTCTTAACCACTGAGATATCTCATCTCTCCAGCCTGTAAAAATTATAACTATTTTTATTATATGCGCATGAATGTTTTAGCTGCATGTATTGTAACTGAACTGCACTGCCACAGAGGCCAGAAAAGGGCACCTAATTCCCTGGCACTGGGGTTATAGATGGTTGGGAGCTAGGAACCAAAACTACCACTGTTCTTACATGGAGCCATCACTCCAACACCCTAAAAATTCTTAATAGAAAGAAACCTTAACTTTAAGATGGTATTAGAAGGTGGAGCCTGCAGGCAGCTAAAAACTCATAAAGTTATTAGAATCCTCATGAATGGGTAGTACCGTAATATAAGAGGACAGAGGGAGTTTATCTAACCTTTCTTCCATATGAGGAAATAAGACAGATGGTGCCATCTACAGATCAGGAAGAGGTCTTTCATAGGATAGCAAATTTATCATTACCTTGAATTCCTAGCATCTAAAACCATGAGAAGTGAATTTCTACTGTTGGTGAGCTAACCAGTGCAATGATATATATATATATAAAATAGCAGCTTGAATGGACTATGATAGTATCTCAGAGATGATATCCTATTCTGTAACCACCATGTACTTATAAAGCAAAAATAATGACTCTCATTAAGAATTACATAAACTGTAAAATGAATAGATGAATAAATTTAACTGTGTGTGGTGACTCAAGCCTACAATTCCAACATATGAAAGACTGAATCCCTAAGTTCTAGACCATCCCAGGGCAACACTGGTGGGTGGCATGGTTAAGAGAGTAAATATGAAGACTCAAATGGAAGAGATGGGCAATATCAACCAAAAGGAACAGAATCACGGGACTAAAATGATAATATTAAGATGGTAGAAGATTCGTTTTTGTAGGATAGTTAGCAAATTGAGCCAGTCTTAGGCAGCAGATCATCAAAAAGATTATGATAAATGGGTTAAGCACAAGGGTCTAGTAGGACAAGAATTAAACCTCTCTTGGTTTTCCTTTCCTGTCACATGTACTCTGCACATGTAGTGTGGTAAGGACAAGCTGAATCTATGATGAGCTGGCCTTCACCAAATAAACCATCAGAGAATCTCCTTTTCCTGTTTGCAACTAAACATGAAGCTACAGTAAAAGGTGCCATAGGTGGTAATCAAAATGTTATACAAACTTATAAAAACCACATTTTTAAATTGAGGTTTAAGTGTTAAGCCAGAACCTCATATTTTCAATGCTTTTCCATTCAGCATTATCATGTGTAGGCCCCCTTTTCAGGGACCATTCAGCTTTTAAGGTCATCTTTGTCTTCTGGGACAGACAAGACTTCTGTGCAATGAAATGTTTCATAATTTTGCAGACCAGGATGGCCTTGTCCTATCTTTTCTCTGCCTTACAGAACATTCTAGTTAGCAGAGATATTTTGCCATTTTCCTTGCAACCAATCAGTATTATTATACTTCAAATATAATTCAACTTGAAGTTTTTCTAGATTACTTCTAAGTGCCCAAACAGTGGTTGACTCAGAAAAAGAAACAAGATCAGTAAACCATAAACGACCATCTGCATAAATTTATTCTGATAATACAAAACACCAAGCTTACAAGATATCATTAAACACAAAATACCAAAAACACCGCTGAGAAAAAGTAAGCATGCTGAGGGACTAACATGTACTCTGCCATGAAGCCGACCCTAGAGTGCTGTAGAGAAATAGTGGAATATAGAGCCAGATGGCAGATGGTAGTGGGAAGTGAAAGATGTAGAATTTGTAGTTTGAGAACAGTGAAGCACTGAAATTTCATGAATAGCGTACTTTTTAAGCCATCACATTTTTGCAACTTGTTTCAAGTAGGACTTACAATTAAATGGCATTGTATGTGGGTAGTGGGTAACTCAGCCTTGGGCAAGGACATAGACGGTGTCTTTGTATTTATAGTTTTCTTAGGATTAATACTATAGATTAAACTCTAGGATCTTGTACATACTAGACAAGCACTCTACTGTTAGATCACAAATTCCCTAGCTGCCTTTCTCTTCCAGAAACACAGCCACAGCTCACAGCAGCTCAGTCTCTGATCAGACCTGGTAAGAAAGCATGCTGTGCAGCTCTTCTACTTCTTCCAGCTAGAAGCCAAGTGCATGTCCTATCAAGTGCCTGCCTTCAAGCTTCATTATGAAGCTTGTCTATCCTGTAAAAAAGAGAATCTGAAACAATCAGCCTTCCCTCCTGCCCCCACCCTGGCCCAACTACCATTCTTTCTGGATTTGAAGTGAAGGTTCTCTCACATCCCTCCTCACTTGTGGGAACCCAGTCATGCTCTACAGCAGGGTACCTATAGCTCAGATTACAGCTTTCTCAGGATCTGAAGAAAAGTCCTCCTTTTCTCTGCAGGCTCTACCATGCTTCCTACGGTCTGACGTCTTTTCTTGTCTAATGTTCTTTTACTTTAAGGCTTGATAATGCCTCCTCTACAACCCATGGTCATGGGGGTGGGAATCCTTCTTCTCTCCTGATAAAGCCCCTTTCTGAAGGAATATTTTGTGCCAGCTCCTTTCTGCAAATCTACACGTTTAAGTAACATATATCACTGAGTGACACCCCTATTGAACAGATGATATTCTTAACAAAAAGTTTAAAGAGAACATTTAGCAGAACAAAGCTAATTGGGAAAGAAGAAAGGAAGCAGCAGTTCTAATGGAGATATGGTACCAAAGTCTGGTAATATGGTCAATATAGAGTTGAAAGTTAAGGGATTTTTACAAGTCTGTTTCTTTTCCACACAGATTGGGGATGAATGGCTCTGTGCCTTGGTTTAACTAAGAGTGAGTTAAGACAAATGCCTAGAGAGATGGCACTGTAGTTAAGAGCATACATTGCTCTTCCAGAGGACCTGAATTTGGTTCCCAGCACCAACGTTGCTTGGAACAAGTAAGTCAAGATCAAGGGGATCTAATGCCCATTTCTGGCTTCAAGGAATATTACACTCAAGTGCATAACCCATACACAGGGACACATTTTGTTTTTTAAACAAATCAAAAATTTTTTTAAAAGGACAAATGTTTTTGTTCAAGAGCTATTGCTTTACAATTGTTCAGCTGTTAGATAAGACTAAAGTTAATAAAAAAAAGGATTTAGAAAGAAGCACTTCATATTCTCTTGAACATTCTTGGAAGATACATAGAAACTCCATTTGGGCATCTTAATGAATACTTTGAGCTAAAATTTAGGACAATTGTATAAAAAACATTCACATTGGAACCTTACGTGTAATCTTCATTTCTTACAGTGGTAAATGCTTTAGTTTCTTTAAGTCCAAAGGTTTTTGTTTTTAAACCAAAATAAAAAAAAATTCAAAAGGCAGTAGTGCCTAGGAGTATAGCCTCATACTTGGCTACACATTGTTTCTAGCATAGTACTAAACCTAACTCTCCAAAGTAAAATATTTGCACCATATCACAAGACTACTTGTATAGTTAAATGCTAAGAGTTCACACTCAAAATACTTAAAAAGCTGGAATACTTACAACCATACAATTTAACAGCTATTGGTTCAGTTATCAGTAATATTCATGTCTGATAATAAAGTTTATTCATAGCTTTAATAAGTATTCCTCTAGAGGTAGCCCTGGATGCAGTACTAATGTTTAACCTTTCTTACCTCTGTTTTATTCTGTAAGCTCTTTTACACACACATGCACACGTACACAATTTTTTTCTAAATATTTCTTATGCTATACATGGTTTCTTATTAAAATCATACAATTTTTTGAGGTCTACTTTATTATTCTGTTCTAGCTTATCTTTTAGCAGATATTCCTTTAACCATTCCACACACATTTTAAAATTATCGTTTAGGTTTATTCCATTTAAGGCATAAAATATAAGAATCCCCTTCTACTTTTCTCTTTGTTGGCCTGTTTTGCTTTGTTTTATGGCATGTCACGTGCATTAATCATCAACTTGATATAACCTAGAATCATTTGGGAAGAGTTTCAGTGAGGGACTATCTATATCAGGTTGACCTGTGAGAACGTCTACAGAGGGCTATCTTGATTCTGCTGAGGTGAGAAGACCTGGCCAGAGAACTCTGGACTGTGCTAAGGGTAGAGAAAGGAAGCCGAGCACACACATGCGTCTGTTAACTCATTGCTCTTTGCTTTTGACTATAGATGAAATCTGACTAGTTGTTTCAAGTTCCTGCTGAACTGACTTCCCCACAATGATGAGCTGCAAAACTGGAATTGTGAGGGAATATACCCTTCCCCCAAGTTGCTTTTGTCAAGATAAAATGTTTCTATTTCTAGGCAACTGCCTTAAAAGTTAGCTAAAAGTAAGGGTCTGCTAATTGCTACCTTAACTGGACTCTCTTAGAAGATCCTTATCTTACACTTCTGCATTTTGGGTTTAGCACTACCACCACAATTTTCTTCTGCTTTAAATTTTTGAGTAACTTGTTTTGTTTCTAGAATTTCAATGCCTATATCTTTTTACTTGTTTACTCTGTAAATTCACTAAAACTTACCACTGTCTTACTGGGTAATTTCAACGCACACTTCCTTCTTTTTTAGTTGTAGAGATCTATTTAACACATTTTAAAGATGCAAAACAATAAATATAGAACACTGATTTTTGTAAGGATAGGGATCAGGAGAGGAAATGAATACAAACAAGTCTAAAATCCTTTCAGACCCTATGTTTATTTCTCATATTAAAGAGGGTAAATTTGTTACATGTAAACAATTCACTAATGACCATAAAGCACATGCACATGATTAGTGAACTGATGGCATGTAACTGAATTATGAAGTATGTTCTTCAATACTCTGTAACATGGTTAGAATCAGTCTACCTATATTTTGGCTAATTATAAAGAAAAAAGGCAACAAAACTGAAGCTGCTATTGATGAAGGAAGATGCACGGAAGTCTGAAGCAGGGTACTCACACAGAGGGACATTACCTTGCAATTCAAGACTTCCAACTAACACTAGTAGGCCAGCAACCTGAAGCAGCTATAATCAGTGCAGGATCTCAGACACTCAAGAGATACCAGTTGTATACACTCAAGAGATACCAGTTGAGTACGCAGGAAAGCACTGACTTGAATAAATAATATGTTCACTACTGCTGCATTCTTTCTGTTACAACTATTAGCCTTTGCTTCTTGCCTAAAAAAGGCAATCATATCTATCTTAGAAATAGAACATCCCAGTGAAATCAAGTGCCTACAGTTTGTCAGTACCACATCTTTGCTTACTGTCTCTCTTAGCAAGGCATACATTCCCAATTATTCTGAGAAACATATAGCTACAACACTCCATTTGATTGTTAGACTCAATCTTCCTTTGTGAAACAACAAAGCAGCAGAGAAACCACAGCTCTATGAGTTTTAGATGCAACAACAACTATAGTTCTTCCACAATGTACTTACTTTTGAGAGGCAAAATATACTAACCCCATCAATTACTAAAGAAATGGAATAGATAACTAAGAGTTACTGTGTTATTTTGACTTTCTTTGTTAAATTCCTTACAGTATTTCTACAGAAGAGAAAGGATAGATTTGTTGGTCATAAATACCGTAAAAAAGGCAAACAGTAGCCGGGCAGTGGTGGTGCACGCCTTTAATGCCAGCACTTGGGAGGCAGAGGCTGGGGGATTTCTGAGTTCGAGGCCAGCCTGGTCTACAGAGTGAGTTCCAGGACAGCCAGGGCTACACAGAGAAACCCTGTCTCGAAAAACCAAAAAAAAAAAAAAAAACAAACCCCACACACACTATGTATGTATGCATTGAAGTATGACTAGTCAGAACTGAGATGGGCTGTAAATCTAAACTAAGTATGAAAGAAAGAGTGCAAGGAAACTCAGTACAATATTAAAACATTGCTTAAATGTCAAAATAATATTTAGATATACTATGTTAAATAAAATATATCATTAAAGTTGATTTTATGTTTCCTTTTAGATGACTACTGAAAAACTTAAATTAGGTATGTAGCTCACATTAAATGTCTACTAGTCAGCCCAGAAACACAAAATATATCTGAATTCTTACCTAAACCAACCACTAATATTCCATCTCCAGTTATTTACTACCACTAGCCGTCAGGTCATAAGGCTATCTAGGAAACTGCCCTAGACATCCTACACTAAGACAATATCACACTCTACCATGAGGACCTAACAAATCAGCACTGGCCCAACCCAAATTTAAATTTAATCTAGTAGAATGTGCAAAGATTCTCTCAGTCTGTAATGATTCCAAGAACCCTCTTTTTATTATTAGAATCACTGAAGAAAAAAACAAGACAAAAAAACCCAAAAATCCCAACAACAAAAAAAACATATTTAGTTTGGAATTTTCTGAAAATAGAGAAAACAGAGAAAATAGAGAAGTCTGTAAGTACACTCCCTATTTAACTTTCTACTTCACTAAGGTTACACAGGACAAAAGTTTAACAATGCAAAAGCAACCCTACTTTTCTTCGTAAATTGTACTTATAGACAACTTATACAATAATAATAATAATAAGTCAGTCCTTTCACAAGTGTAAGTTGTTTCAAAAACCTTCTTTATACCCAGGTATGAGCCTGTAACCCAACTCTCAGGAGGTTGAAGTAGGAAGACTGAAATTTTCATGTTAGCCTAGGTTACAGGGCAACATTCTGTTTCACAAAAACAAAACCCCACAAACCTTTCCCTTAACTAAGGTAAGCATTCTATATCATATGGATTCAACTGGATAAAACAAATAATCAGGCTGACGAATGTCACAACATATTAAGCATACTTTGCTAAAAATCTTATACTTGAGTTTCACAGTTCAAAGATACATGATCTTTTAGAGCAGTGTTTCTCAACCTTCCTAATACTGCGATCCTTTATTATAGTTCCTCATGTTGGAGTGACCCCAACTATAACATTTTCATTGCTACTTCATAACTGCTACTTCTGCTACTGTTATGAATCTTAATGTAAATATGTGTGTTTTCTGATGGCCTTAGGAGACTCCTGTGAAGGGTTGTTTGATCTAGAAGATAAGCAGAGGGTATTTTGCAGAATCAAAAAGTCCATATGCATATTATCCAGCCTAAGGTATTACCTGGTAGATATCAGATAAACTGCTGCTCCCAGAGTCACTGGCAATGCTACAGCCAGACTGACTAGAAGACACATGAGTCACCTGTGGATGAGGGCTGTCTGTGAGGTGCATCTTGGTAAGATCAGCTGGAAGCTGAAGGAGAAAAGAACTTGAGTTATTATGAATGCCAAACTTTGCTTATTAGAGAGTTCTTGACATAATGTAATTTTAAAAACAATAAATAGCTTTAAATGTCAAGAATGGAAAACACAAATACATACACATTGGTAGTGTGTCTAAATAAAATTAATAGTAATGTCTGAGATTACAGATGAGCACCTGCAGGCAGTAAGACTGAAGGTTAACAAAATGACTATACAAGATTTTAACATGCTCACAACCTTTGTTGTTGTTCATAACATTGGATTATGCTGTAGTTAGCTCCTGAAAACCTTATTAGTGATCACAATTAGTCAATGAATGCCTCTGTTAAGTACAGAGATACAAGTGGAATAGAAAAGACATAGCAAAATGGCTCAGTGGGTAAAGGTATAAAGGTCTACAAGCAAGATAACTGGACATAGCTCCCTGGACCCACAGAGTGGAGAGGACCAACTCCTACAAGTTGTCCTTTATCTTCACATGCTCATCATTCAAGTGCACACACAAATAAATACAATGCAATTAAAAATAAAAAGCAAATGACTCTATCTTTAATATATGACTAATCTTATCAAGGATGCAGACTATACAATGCATCTCATACTATGAAATAAAACAGGTATCTCATAAGCAATTTTATGGAAGTTAAGACAAGAAATAATTTGCTATGCTCCAAAGCAGTTAATGTTTAAAGTAAGAGATAAGATCATTTACTACCACTCCATATAATTTCTCTTCAATTTGCTATTCAGGACCATTAAGTAAACCTAAAATTTGAGGTAAGTTTCCTTGTTGCATACACTCAATGTATTCTACAGAAAATGACCAAATTTGAGTTTCACTATCTTAAGAATACAGACTATAGAAATTACACAGACTAATTATACCATGAACTGCTGCTGGCGGGTTAACATTGCTAAAAGAAAAACAACACACAATACAGAATCAAAATGTGCAAGGAAAAATAAACCAGAAACAGAAGGAGTAATGTATTTAATGTATCTAACTCTACGGGGAACCAAAATGTTAAAATTTACAGAAAGAATAAAATGGTGGGTACTAGACACTGGGAGCTGGGAAACTGCAGAAAGTTTTAGTTATGCAAAATGAATGAATTTCAGTCATAGATTACACAGCACAAGTAACAATTATTGTAAAAATGTATTATAGATTTCCAAAAATTAAGAACAGATTTTAAATGTTCTAGCCATGAAGAATACTTTATATGATGAGCAGGCTAACTAGCCCTGATTTGGTCATTTCACAGTATGCATACGTATCAAAACCTCATCACAAACACAATTATTTTTCAGTAAAAGAAAACTTAAAGGTGAAAATGACAGTGGAAGATGAAGTCACACTCATTTTGTGAAATGTTGGTACAATTCTCTCTCCAACAAAAATATAAAGATGTGAACATAGTTAAGAAATGTCGCCTACAGTGTGAATACAGAGAACACAATCCAAAATTATAGAATATGTATTCTTTAAGGCAGACATCAAATATTTGTAAGAGTCAGACAAGGCTGAAAAAAATAATTAAAATCATACAGAGAACATTCAGTAATCATGTGCAAAGGCAGAAATAGGTAACAAAAATTGAAATGACCACATATTGGGGAATTATAAAATAACCTCTCAACAACCCATAAATCAATACTATCACATTAGAAACAAGACAATATCTGAACCAAATAAATGCTACGTATTAGAAGGAGATTAAAGTCATCATTTAGATGGGTGTGGCAGCACACACGTGTCTTCCTAGTACACAGGAGGTGGAGACAGTAGGATCAAGAAGGGCAGAGATAAGCAGTTCCTTAGAGCTAACTGGCTAGACATCTAGCCTATCCAAAACAGCCAGGTAGGGTTCAGTAAGAAACCCTATTTCAAGAGAGTAAGGTAGAAAACAACAAAGGAATACACTAGATATTTTGCTCTGGTCTCAATGTGCACGAATGGTACCCTCCTGCACCCCTAAACATACATTACATCACACACACACACACACACACACACACACACGTTTCCTATATAAAGGAAGACAGATCAAGGAGGTGTCACCTATGACAGTAATGTAATCAACCAAAGCCAGAGAACAAGGCTGCAAACTAAGCCTGGTAATACTTTACAGTGTATTGAGAAATCTTAAGCCTCATCAATTTCTGAAAATCAGTGATTTTTATTCTTTTTACTCTACTTATGAGGGACTGAGGCAGCACAATTGAGCAGTATGTACAGTTTCATATTCAATTAAACTGTGGAACATGGCTTCAAAATCAGGCTACTTGATTTTAGCATCCCATGATGCTAGCATTTTATGCTAGGAACACAGGTGGCGACACAAAGACGACGACACAGGAATGATGTGAAGACTATACACAGAAATCTCTAGCCTCTTTAAGAGAACAGATGTGAGGAGACAGTGACCGCCGCAGTTAACACTTGCATGCTCCTTAGGTGGAACATTTGTGAACCATAGCAAATGCATTCTATATGCCTTTACATAGATTTTCTTATCTGAGAATGAGACCAAATGAGGTAAACGTTTCATGACATTAAGCTGAAGTTTCTGTTTACTTTCTAAGAATAAAAATTGAAAATTTTTATTCCTTTTCTTCATGACCAAGTTTGAATTAATAGTTGACCTTTTGCCAGCAAACTCTATTTATCCCTCACCCTTCTAATCCAGCAAGCTCTGCAGAATGTCTTGTCTGTGAGACTCTGTCATGTATATTCTACAACTGGACTTATGTGGTCTGCTGAGGATCATGTGTTTATAAAGACTATTGCCAAAGTTACATTTGGGAATGAAAATGTCTTGAATACAAACATTACAGAAGTATAATGCTTGTTGCTGATTGAATAAACTGAGGACTTAAGGTCTCCATAGGAACAGACAACCTTTTGAGGGAAACTGCCTAAAGGCTCAAATATCTGGACTCCTTTGTTGTTTGGCTTTACCATTTACCTAAACATGGAGACATCACTTAGGTTAAGATAGCAGAAAAAACAACTAGAACTGACTATTAATCTTTCTAGCAACCAGAAAAACAAATAGTTATTTTCTTCTCCACCCCCCCACCCCCAAAGTCTAAGAAAGCAAGTTGTGTATTTACATGATAGTCTATGAAATATCATTCTGGCTTTCTCCCATGTTTCTTGGCTCATAGTTCCCTCCCAGAGGCAGGCCACAGAAACCAGGCTTTTCTCTTCCACAAGGCAGGTTACAAAATTAATCTTCCCTTACCTTTTTGCCTTGAAGCTGGCTATAAATTCTGACAGCCCATCTGATACTAGATAGTAAGACTCCCACAAGAGATTCTGCTCTCTACTCCTGAGGCCAGACCTATGCTAGGTCTCCCTTTCCAGTCTTTGAGAAGTAGAGCTGACTTTTTCTGCACAATCTTATTTCTATGTGGTTGTCCCAATTTTAATCATGCCCATGAAATGATGTCTCTATAAAAACCCCAAAGCAGTGCCAGGTGCAGTGGCTCCTGACTTTAATCCCAGCACCTGGGAGGCAGAGGCAGGTAAATAAATCTCTTGAGTTTGAGGCTAGCTTGGTTACAAAGTGAGTTCCAGGATAACTCAGAGCTACACAGAGAAACTATCTAGAAAAAAAAAAAATCAAACCAAAACTCCAAAAGCATGTGTTTTTAAAAAGTTTCTATATAGCTGAACACAGGGAAGACCCAAGAGGATGTCAGGGGAAGTCATGGAAGTTTCCATGTTTCTTGGCCTATGCAAGTAAAGGTAATTGCTGCCAAGCCTGATGATCTGAGTTCCATCTCCAGGATCCATATGATACAAGTTATTCTTTAACTTTTATCCATACACTGAGGTACATCTGTGCCACCCTCAACACACATAATAAATAAAAAGTAATAAAATTAAAAGCATAGCCTTATGGCTTGCGGGGATGATTAGCTCACGCGTGGGCATGGGTTCCTGTTGGGCGGGCATTGTGGTTCCCACCTGTCTGCCATGGATCAGAGAGGCAAAGTGCGCTGTGAGAAGCAACTGGGCGCCCCCGGGCAGGGAGAGAACTCAGTCTGAAGTCCCGTGGGGGCACAGGGCTCTCTAGTGGACCCGGTGGTCTCTATTCTCCGGCCCCCATACACCGCTGGGGGGCCGCAGATGAACAGAGACTGGGGGCTGCAAGCTGTCCTGCAGCTGAGAGGAACGAGGGGGAGAGACTCGTTACCAGCACTCGTTACCAGCTTGGCAGGGTCGGCTAGCTTGGTTGAGTAGGCGGTCCCTGTGGCTGGAATGCAGATAAGTCCTCCAGGGGAGATTAGACACGGCTCTGTAGTTGAGACTTTCTCCATGGTTCCCCACAGTGGGCCCCAAAGACACGAGAAGTCCATGGTTTTTACAGGCTTTATTTTCATGGCGGATGGTAGTTGAATATGGATGCACGCCCGCACCCTCAGGGTGGGTCTTTGGTTAAATACCGTTTGTAAGCAGGAGGGTCTGGGAAGGAATATTTAATTGGCTACGCACTCTGGCCTTTAGGAATCTCATTAATATGGAAATCTCTGGAGGCCCTGAGACCTGTAGTCACGCCCTCTACCTGTGGAGGGGCTGGTAGGGGCGTTGCACTACGTGACTGAACAGTGCAAATCAAATGAAGGTCTTAGACTGATGTCAGGACCCTGGGTTCTGGGGGCATGGCCAAATACCTGCCATTGTCCCATTAGGGTCCAGGGTTCGAGGCCTGTGCCCAACCAGGAACTAAGCTATTCTTTCATGGTCCCACAATGGCTCTTGGAATATCTTCCATAAAGCAAACAGGTACACAAAGAGAAGTGCATTACAAACTGACACTCTGTGGAGAAAAATAAACAACCAGAATGAGAGTAATCATTATCAGCCTATTTTGGAAGGGAGTTGCTTCTCAGTATCCGTGGTGGACTGATTCCTGGACCAGCCCTGCAAACACCAGAATTAACAAATGCTCTAGCCTCTTCCAAAATGGGGGAAAACTG